AAAGAAGGTGAGACACTAGTTTACAGAGTGCAGTACTGTAACTGGGGAAAGGTGAATCTAACCAAAGGACATTGACCAAACTCTGCTAAGGACTTGAAGGTAAAGTAGCATTTCGGGAACACATAGAGCAGAGGCAAGAAATGCACAACTATAGCTCCAACTGGTGAACAGAAAGCACAGCATTTGCTATAGTTGTGAGGCAGGACCATGTGCTTGATGGAAGTATTTCAAGTTTCATTATAAATGGAATAAAATCACAAAGACATTTCATTCTTTTTTTTGGGGGGGGTGTTCCGGTCATAGGTCCTGAACTCTGGGCCTGGGTGCTGTCCCTCAGCTCTTTAGCTCAAGGCTAGTGCTCTACCACTTGAGCCACAATGCCACTTCCGGCTTTTTTCTTTTTGTATATGTGGTGCTGAGGAATCGAATTTAGGGCCTCAGGAATGCAAGGCAAGTGCTCTACCACTGAGCCACCCTCCTAGCCCAGACATTTCATTCTTATATTACCTGTTAGCTATAATATTACTTAAGACACAAAGAATTTGTTCAATAAATACTTCATGGTTTATCTGAAGTCTCCTGGCCTCTGTGCTACTATGATTTTTCTACTGTTCCATGATTGTAGATTGAATGTAGTCATATTGTCACTCAAACCTCATCTGCACTCATAGTTACATTGATCAAAATATCTTCCTCTGGGGCTGGGAAGGTGACTCAGTTGTAGAGCGCTTGCCTTGCATGTATGAGGCCCTGGGTTCGATACCTCAGCACCACATAAGCAAAAAGAAAAAAGCCAGAAGTGGTGCTGTGGCTCAAGTTATAGAGCGATAGCCTTGAGCTGAAGAGTTGAGGGACAGCGCCTAGGCCCAGAATTCAGGCCCCATGACCGGACCCCCCCCCAAAAAATATCTTCCTCCTAGACAGACTCAGATGGTCTGCTCTGCAGTTCCCCAGACCAGTAACCCCTAAGGATAGCTCACACAGCCTAAAAGGAAGTTTTAGTTCAGGAATGTATCACTGTGGGAGGCTTATGTGTATCTTGAAGCAGTGATAAACTCCAACATCCTCAGGCTCTACCTTGCTGATGTCAGTGTTAAATCTATGCTTGACCCAGTGCCAGTGAATCTGTTGGGAACCACAGAAAATCAGTTGGAAACTGTGTATATCAGGAGTTGTGGAGACCGGCCTGGCTTCTGCAGCTACCAATTCAGATAAGTGTCTCCATTGCTATGCAGGAGGCTCTGACTAGACCTGTCGGAGATGGAAGCTGGATCTCCCAGCGTGACAGGCAGGGAGAGTGGAGTCTGGGTCATCACAACATCTCCACTGGATCCTGAAATTAGAATAAGACAGAAGTGCAAGGTTATTCACAAGCATAGACATGTTGATATTAGTTGAATTTTGATATATTGCCTGTTTTCGTATTTCATATTGATTACTAATCTAAAAATATAAAAGATTATAAATAAAGATATTTCTAAAATATAAAGAGGTCTCTAGGAGTCACTGACTATATTTTCATCTAGCAATCTTCACCCAAGCACAGTTTTAGCTCTTTCTGGAATGTTCTTCACTCTCTCACACCTAAGTATCACTTTCCCAACATGGATAACAGGATCTTCACAGATAGGGCACAACTGGACCCTTAGATCTCACCTTTTCACCCACTTTCATTCCTTATCTCCCTTTGCCCTTACCAGGGATCCAGAGCATTAACAGCCCCAGGAGTCGATAGAAGGACTTCATTTTTAAGAGTTAAATGAGGAGTGTTGACAGGTCAAGGCAAGTTCAGATCTTAGAAAGGAAGGTCCTCCTTAGGGAGCAATATGCAAATCTCCAGGTGGGTGCAACAGCATAGGAAGAACCAAGGGGAAGGTAAGGCCTGCTCTTATGAGAAAAGTGATACCAAATATGCTCTGTGTTTGGTGACAACCAATAAAATCCTTGATTCCTGCAGCACTGGGAAGAAAGACCCCACTGTGAAGGAAGATAGGGTGCACATGGCTCTGACACCCTAAAACATCATCAGAGACCAAAGGTATGCACGTTCCTGTCAAGGAGAGTCTGTAGGAAAGGAATGAGCACAATTCCCAGCTCTCCTTAAACTCGAGCAGAAGGGCTAGAGAAAAACACTGTACTCACCAGCAGCAGCAAGGACCCTCAAGGGAGATGAATAGTTTAGCTATATAAAGTGGCATCTTATGCCCATAGTTACTAAGTTATATGTTCAGGAATCTCAGCTACAAGAGTTAGAACTTCTGTTTCCAAAGGAAATGTAACATAAAGAATTGATAAGAAGAACAAAAATTTCTGCTATTAGTAGTGATCTAAATGCATTTATTTATAAGATTAAAGGACAATGCCCTCTTTCTGACAGAAGCATATAATTCCAGTATAGATAGATAGATAGATAGATAGATAGATAGATAGATAGATAGATAGATAGATAGATAGATAGATAGATATAGATGTATACAGATGCATATATAGATGTATATATATATATATATATATATCACATTTTCTTGATCCATTCATCTATTGAGGGGCATCAGTGTTGGTTCCATATCTTAGCTACCGTGAATAGTGCTGCAAGGAATACAGTTGTGCTGGTGACATTAATATGGCCTTGTTTGTGGTCACTTGAGTTAATACCCAGAAGTGGGATTGCTGGATTGTAATGAGATCTATGTTTAATCTTTTGAGGAACCTCCATACTGCGTTCCATAATGGTTGAATCACGTTATGTTCCCACCATCAGAGTAGTATCTGGCCTCATCCCTGCCAACATCTATTATTATTTGTTTTCTTAATAATGGCCATTGTAACTATGGTGAGGTGGAATCTCAATGTGGTAGTGAATTGCATCTCTCTTATGACCAGAGATGGTGAACATTTCTTCAGGTGTCTATTGGCCATTCTTATTTGCTCTCCAGAATAGACTCTTAATTCTTTAGCCCAATGATTAATGGGCTGGTTTTTCTTTGAGGATTTTTTGGAGGGGTGTTTATTGAGCATTAGGTATATTTTTTATATGAGGCCTTGTCTGTTGTATAGCTAGTGAACATCTTCTCCCAATCTGTGAGATTTCTATTTATCTTGCTGGCTATGGCGTTTGCCCTGCAGAAGCTCTGCAGCTTAATATGATACCATTTATCCATCCATTCTTTGATTCGTTGTATCTCTGGATCTTTATTTAGAAAGTTTTCACCTGGATAAAGGAGCCCTAGAAATTCCCTTGCAAGAAAATGGGAAGACTTAGAATAAACCATATTAACTGAAGTAAGCAGATCCAAAGAAACATAGGCTCCATAGTTTCCTTCATTTGTAATAATCAGTATATGTCTAGTATAGTCCTTGCAGAGGATCACAATAGATCAATAGCTATGTACATATCACCATATAAAATGATGCTAATCCAAATGAACTCCAAGATATAGAAACAAGATGTCTTTTTTGTTGTCTTTGTTGTGGTCTATATACTGTATCAAGTTCCTTCTTTTTATTATATATATATATAATTTTCCTTTGGCTTATCCCCTGTAGTCACTGTTTATATTCTGGAACCATGCATCTTTTATACACGTTTCTATGACTTGAGAAGGGAAGGAGAATAACCAAATGGTGAAACAAGGACAAAGGGTGACCAATGCAACAGTGATACTCACAGGACACTATTTTGGAAGTGAACTTTACAACTTCGGGGTGGGTAGGTTGGGTGTAGGGATAGTAGGAGATGAAGGAATGGGTAACAATATTTGACAAGAAAAGTTCTCATTACCCTACTTATGTAACTGTTACAGTATCATTACAACAGAATAAAATTAAAAAGGATAAAAGATAAATGTTATAAAGTTTTACTTCAAAGTGTGACTATATATTCAAAGTAATGAGTATTATAATCCATTATCTGTCTTGTTAATCTTCCACACTGTATTTGCACAACAAATTGTTCACAGAATTTCTTAAATCTTCCCTCTAGAGAGTAAAGGGAGAAAGTAATCAAGATATATTCCACTTCTATACCGTTATGTTTCTTAACCCTTTTTTAAACTATGTAAAGGCAAATGTAGATATATAATTCTGCTTATCTTAAATTAACATAAGATCTTCTAATGTCTCCATTCCCAATCTAAATTAACCAGTCTCTGCTTATTTGTCACAGAGAGTTCAGTCCCTACTTCTTGTCTCCAAGGATTCTACTCTGCCATGCGGTAGAATATCACATGGTAAGAAGGAACATGTGGAGAAGGAAGTTGGTGCTGATGCTCCAGAAGACCCCACATGGTCATCTGAAGGGCCTCCTTGTAGGAAGTGATTAGATCATTGGAGGTCCTGTCCTAGAAGGGCTATATCTCCTCTCATGGAGTGAGTCAGTTTTCACAGAAGTTGCTTGTTATAAACCATATATTTGGGCTTTTCTAACTGCAGCTTGTTTTTTATTTTTATTTATTTAATTTTTTGTTTGGTCGTGGGGCTTGAACTTTGGGCCTGGGCACTGTCCCTTATCTCTTCAGCTTAGGGAGAAGGCTCTACCACTTGAACTACAGTGTCACTTCTGGTTTTCATGTGGTTTATTAGAGGTAAGACTCTTAAGGTCTTGCCTGCCCGGGCTGGTTTGGAACCTCGATCCTCAGATCTCAGCTTCCTGAGTAGCTAGGACTACAGGCGTGAGCCACCAGTGCCCAGCTACTACTTGTTCTCTTCACATTAATTCAGCATATTGGTTGACAAATGGAACAGGCCTCACCTGAGTAGAAGCAGATGAGACTATTTCATCTAGAATTTTCTATATCTAAAGCCCAGTTAAAAACTGGAAGTAGCATTGTAGCTCAAGTGGTAGAGTGCTCGCCTTGAGCTGAAGAGCTGAGGAACAGCACCCAGGACCAGAGTTCAAGCCCCACGACCAACCCAAAACAAGACAAAATAAAACAAAAAATGCTTCTTAAGTAGAGCAACCAACACAAGCCTGCAAGGGGAGAGCTTCGTGGGCTGTAGTCTCAGCTGAGTGGGGTCTCAGAAGATATGCTCTGCTCTGCATTCTGAGAGCCCATGGCAGCTGAATAAAATATGTTATAAATCAGACCATGGCTGTTACAGGGATTGTGTAAACTTGCTATTTTATGTATTGCTACTGGGTGTATATATATATATATATATATATATATATATATATATATATATATATGTATATATGCATTTATACACATATAACCTATATATATCTGTATATATAGATATAGATATAATAACTAATGGATGTGTCACTCAATGAACTAGAAATTTTCCATTTTAATCAAGAAATCTGCTTTATGTTTCAATACTTAATGATGATTTTTTTTATAATCTAAAAACAAAATATTTTCTAAAGCTCTATTGTCTTGCTTTTAAAACCTGGTTTGATATACCTAAAATGGCTCTTTCTTTTTGTGGCTGCAAATTGTTAGCACAATGTAAGTGAAACATGAGTATAGATTACTGATTTCTAAAGTCAGAAGAGGCGTTGTAAAGTGTGTGCTCCTTAGGATGCGCAGGAGGACAGAGAGTTAGGGTGTGCAAATGCCTCCATGACCTCTCTCCCAATACTTTCCAGTAACTTTAAAGTTTGCGTCTCTCTGAGAAGTTGTGTAGAGTAGAGGCAGTTGTGCAGGTAGAAGAGAAGCTGGGGCAGCCCAGCCTCTCACTTCTGCTTCTCTGGGAGGTTTTTGTTATGACTTCTGTCACTGTGGGAGGTAAACTATCACTGTGTTGACAGAAATATGTTGCCGCATCTTCAGGCTGCAGGCTGCTGATGGCGAGAGTGAACTCTGTCCAAGATCCACTGCCACTGAACCTTGGTGGGAACCCAGATTGCAAAGTAGTTGCATAACTGATCAGGAGCTTTGGAGCTTTCCCTGCTCTCTGCTGGTACCAATGTAAACTAGTGCTAATGCCCTCACTGGCTAGGCAAGTAATGGTGACTCTGTCTCCCTGTGATGATGACAGGGATGGTGGCTGGGTCAACTGGATGTCACATCTGGCACCTGACATTGGAAACATAAAAGCCACTAGCAGTTTAATTAATTCTGCTGTCCAAGTACTTCCATGAACAGCCAAGTAGCTCAGCTGAACACTGGGTGAATAATCCCGAGTATCATCTTTCCTTACCTGCAACCCAGAGCAGCAGGAGCCCCAGGAGCTGAGCAAGGGCCCTTATGTCCATGCTGTGTGCTGACTGGAACTTCTCCTGCACAGAGTGTAAGCAGCTGATGAAGAAGTTCCCAGTGTAGTGGGCTGTGCTCTGGGCACATGCAAATCAACATGGCTTGGGCAATGCGAGTCAGAGCTTCAGCTGGCAGATCTCAGTGACAAAGCACACGCCTGAAGAACCCAGATGTCCAATGTGCTTGTAGATAATGTGTTTCTAGAGATAAGAAAACATTATGATTCTGTTGGCCTGTGATAAGAATAGATTTTTTTCCCCAGAGTTGAGGACTGAACCGAGGGCCTTGCACTTTCCAGGTAAGCACTCTTCCATTGAGCTCAATTCCCAACCCCAAATAGAATTTTTAACATTTTCAACTTATCCATGACTTGGTATGATTTCCTTCATTTAAATCAGTCACTCGAAGACAAACATTTCAAAGGGAAATTAATTTTAGAATGTCCCTAACTCTGGTATCAGTGGAGTTTGTGATACAGAATTCTTAAGAGTATTCAGGTTGTTTGCCTGAACCTTGTTATATTGTTTAGTAATAAACATTAATACACAGACATGTGTTATAAAAGTGATAATATATATGTAGGTAGAAAGAGAGATGGATGCATTGACAGAAAGAGAGAAATGAACAGTTTTCAACGTTTTTAATGGAAGGTAGCACTGAAATATGTACAATAAAGTGTCTTGATCACAGGTATATGGACAATCCGTTGGTGCATTCATTGGTGTCCTGTGAACTCATATAATTGACTGGATTGCTTCCCTTCTGAATGTTCTACCCTATCGCCTCCCTCTAGAACAGTTCACCTCAGGTATTTCTTCTTTAGTTTTAGGAAAATACCTGGAATCATATCTAGCTTTGTGGGTATTATGCATGTATGGGACAAATATTTCTGAACTTTTAGAGGACATTTGTTTCATCTGTTAATGGAAACACTTCTTTCTCAGAAGCTGAGTTGTTCTGTAGACTGAGGACTCAACATACTTTAACTTCATTTTGCTCCTTAAGCTGCATAGTCCTTCAAGTTACATGTCTTTTAGTTCCTAAGTCAAGCAGTTTTTTTGTGTACTAGGCATGGTGCTTGACTTAGTCCCTGAGCTTTTATGCTCAATGGTGGTAGTGTGCCAAATGAGTCACAGCTTCACTTCCAACCTTTTGGTGTTTAACTGGTGAAAGAGACTCATTGTCTTTATGTCCAAGGTGACCTCCAACCCTAATCGTCAGATCTCAGCCTCCTCTGTAGCTAGTATTATATGCATGACCACCAATAAAGCAGTTTTCACAAGTTGTTTTTAGGAGATGTGATTCATATAGGTACAGAAATGACAAATTGTAATGAGGTCAAGGGTGGAGTTGAGAAACTGGAGCCACCCAGTTACCAAAGAACATCTTCAACCTGGGGATTCACAGTGAAGCCAGAGTGAAGTGAAGAAGGTCCCCACATAGAGATTAGCATGTGGACACACTTCATCCCATTGTGTAGATTTGACAATCTAAACAATCATACCGGTGTTAGATGAACAGGGTGATCACATGGTATTTACCACTGGCAGGCCATGAAGATGATGTGTAAAGATAACACTGCTCTTTCAAAACCAATGGCACAGGTGTAAATCATTACCCAATCAGTGTATTCTTCAGTACCATTTACTACCAGAACTCCATCTGAGTCTTGATTTGATGACCTACATCTTTTAAAATATTAATGTTCTCTGCACCACATGCTCACATAGTTCTTCTACAATGCTCTTTTCCACCAATTTTGATGATGATTTATAAGCTTCCCTAAAAGATATGCCAACCTCCTTTACTGTTCTGAAATATCACTTCTAATCTTATCACATGGTCCCATGAATAACTCCTACTGCCCTTGCTGGGAGGATCTGGTGTCTCTTACATGCACTGCAGGACAAAGCTGGTACTAAAGAAAACCAGGAGAAGACAGCTGGCTGCCATCTGGTAAATTCAAGGAACCATAATAATAGGATGAGGAAGACTGACCTGAAATGTATCTATTTGAGTGTGGTTAAAATCAGCCAGGCTCTGGGAATAACACATTACATTCTCCATATCGACACTCCGGGACTGCCTTCAGCATGTGTGGACATGTGGCATGGGACTTGTGAATTTGAAATCTGCATAGACTTCAGGTACTGAAATACATGGAAGACTTGGAATACTAGGCTCATATCAGAGCTGCTGGTAGGCTTACACTGCCCTGAGGTGTGAGGAATGTAGCCAGCTGGCTGAGAGATTAGGCTGAAAACCAAGGAAAGAGATGAAGACCAAGCAGGTCATAAGAAAACATTTCTGAGGATCTTCCTGGAAGAAGAAAGAGCATAGAGGAAAGAAAGGTGTTAATGGTCTGGGTCATGGACCTGAGTGAGGCCTGGGTCCAAAGAAAAAGTCTATTCCTCTCAGAATAGAGAGTAGCCCTTCACAAATGAATGTAGAATTTATATATCTATTGTTCATATGTAGTAAATTACCTATAAAACTAAAGCATTAATTAATATAATTCTAATTGTATAACTCAGCAGTTTAAATTCTGACACTGAAAAAGAATGCTAGGAACAATGAGCAGTTATATTTCTAGCCTGACATCATGAAGCTCAGGACACCATCAGTGCCTTTAAGGACAATCAGTGGCCTGATCACTGCAGAGGACTCTTGGGAACTGCTGGGGACAGCACTGACACTGCAGCCCCCTCTCACCTCCCACAGCTGGACAGGGTGTGTGCACATGTTCCCTTCAGGGCTGCGTATCTGCAGGGTCCACCCTCCTTCCCTCACCTTTCTGACTTGCCCTTAATGACTTCACTACAAGAAACTTGTGTGTCATCCTTGTCAGGTTTGATTACAGTTTACAAAGTGGAGGTGGGGAGATACAATCCCCTCTGTAAACATGGTCCTACATGCCATATGTGCCATGAAAGCCTGAGATGGAACTCCCTGACTTCAAGCTCCTATGGACAAGGTTAGGTTTCAGGTTCTTCTTTGTGATATTTGTTTGCCATCTAGTGGCCTGTTTATGACATAGCAGCTGACAAGGTTTTCATTTGGAGTTTTAGATTCTTTGTTAATAGTTGTGCAGATTCACAGTAATTTTATATGCATAATCATGGCATTTTACTTATTTTATTGTTGGATAAATTATAATTGTCATATATTAACAACACGAGGTTAGTTTGTGATGAGAATCCCTACCTTAATGCAGCTTATTTTGAAAAAATCACCATCTCTTTCTATTGCTATACTCTTCCTCTCCAACTCCCACCATTTTTCATACTGTGTAAAGGAACTTCATAACTCAAATGCACATGTGAGTGTATATATATGTATATATATATGTATTTATATACCAATTCATCTTCAACACTTAGTGTGCTTTTTCCCTTTCTTTCACCATTACCTGTCTCCCTTCAGACATTTTCCTTTTTGGCATTCATGCTATGTTATTATTATTATTATTATTATCAATGCCATCATCACCATCACCACCATCATCACTACCATCATTTAAGTCTGGCTTCCACAAGTAAGTAGGACTGAACACTATTTTGCTTTTGCATCCTGACCTATGTCACTCAATATGATTATCTAGTTCCTTTCATTTCCTTATGATTTACATGATTTCATTGTTCATCTCCCTCTGTCCTTACCAGTGAGCCAGAGCATTAGCAGCCCAGGAGCTTACTAAAAGAATTCTTTTTTAAGAGTCCTGATAGGACAAGACAAGGGCAAGCTGAGCCTTCATCTCAGACTCAAAAGGGAAAGTCCTCCTTAGGGAGCACTATGCAAATTAGCAGGTGGGTGCAGCAGTGTAAAGGGAGCACAAGGCGGGCAAAGGCCTCTTGTGTGACAAACTGCAAATTATATCCACCTGGATTCCATATTTCAGAGGCTCAGAATGACAGATCTGTGTTTTTTATAAGACACGAGAAGCATTATCTGGTTGGTGCTCCTGAGGCTGATGGAAGACAGACAGACAACATTGAGAGGGTTGTCAATACTCCCGTCCATTGCCATTAAATCTGGATGTCACCCCAGACTCTAAATGTGATGCCCAATAAATCAATAGTTTAGGAGCATCACCTCGTTTCTGGTGATGCCACTGTGAATCACGACTAATCCCTGATTGGATCTGGAAGTGATGGAGACTGTCTCCTACAGATACACACAGAGAGGATGGACACTGGGAAATGGGGATGTCACTCTAGCACCTGATATTGAAAACAGACGCCAAATATCCACAGAATTAATTATGTTCTGGGAGTTTCCATGAGGAGTAAGGCATCACTGTTAACCTTGGGCTCATAAATTCCTAGAACTGTCCTTCTGTATCTTTGGGTCAAAGCAGCAGGATCCTCTGAGCTGAACAGGGGCTCTCACTCATACTGTGTGCTGACTGGGACTGACTGCTACACAGGGTGTGAGTAGACCATGAAGAAGTGTTCAGGCACTTGGCTGCGCATGGACACATGCAAATCCTCAGGAGCTAGGCAAGGCTGCAGGACATGGGCACGATCCCTGAGAGTTCTGGCTTGAGGCCCATGATCTAAGCATTCTAATACTAGGATGAGGAGGAGTGGAGAGAGTGGACAA